TTGTTCAGGAAACTGAAAATTCGCTCGGGGTATCTGCCGTGCAGGATGCCACAGGGGATACCGGCACAATGGGCCGTCCGTGCTGCAGACACCTTGGTTGCCATGCCGCCAGTGCCCAAAGAAGACCCCGGCTCGCGGGTGTCGACGTCTAGCTCGAAGGCCTCGTTGACCACCCTCATGGGCTCTGCAGAGGGGTCCACATTGGGATTCGCTGTGTAGAGGTAGTCCACATCGGTGAATAGGAATACGCCAGCAGCTCCAAGCTGGACCGCAGTGAGGGATGCCAGGTTGTCGTTGTCACCGAAGCGCATGCCATCTGTGTTGGTGGTGTCATTCTCATTGATGATTGGCACCACGTTGGCTTCGAGACATGCTGCAATCGTGTCACGGATTTCGGCCCAGCGTTGCTGCTCCAAGAAGTCGCGCTGACTCACCAAAAGCTGCGCAATCTTCAGCCCTACAGTCTCGAAGAGCTCAGAATACACGCGCATGATGCGGCTTTGGCCGACCCCAGCGACAGCGCGCTTCAACGCAGGAGTGGTGGGCTTCTGCTTCAATCCCAGCTCGCGGCAACCCATGCCAACGGCTCCAGAAGAGACAAGGACGACCTTGAAACCTTGGAAGGAGAGATCGGCGATGACTTCCACCAACCTCGAAAGGTTCGCGACATTCACCCGCTGCCCTCGCTCGTCGGAGGTCATGATCGTCGAAGTGCCCACCTTCAGCACCAGAGTTTGGGCTTCTGCGGGCATCTTCTCAAGAGTCATGGCTGGAGGAGTTGAAAGTTGCTCGAACAAGCCGTTGTTCTTGAGCCGTCGGCGACATGTTCGGTTTTAGTAGGGTTTGGGGTAGGGTTGGTTGCCTACCCAACTACCGGGAAGAAGATGCGCGAAGCGATGAAGATCACCACAACGCCTCCGTCCGCAGATGCAGGCAACAAGCAAACTGAGGAAACAACCCTCCCCGTAAGGACGATGATACTAACTAGGGCCATTGAATACGCGCGGGGCTCTGGTAATAAGGGGTCTCCTGCCACTTTGTCTAGGAGAGCTCTTGGACTTACCGAAACAAGTGGCGATTTTGGGGCTAACTCGCCACCGGATCCTCCGTCAAATTTCAGGAACGGCCTTCAAGCCTGTACTGGGCGCATTCGTCCATTACTTCATCGGTGCTATGTTTGCTGTTGAGGATTCGTTGGAAAGAGATGACCACTCAAGCAAGCACATTCCCTACCCGGAAATTGAGCATTACCCATAGGCCCTGAAGTAGTTCCTTCTTGGGGTTCATATACAGAATCCTATAAGGTAACCCCAAAAAGGAACTACTATGGGGCCTATGGGTAAAGCAACCCTGGCCATGAACCCTGAACCCTGAAAACCTTAAAGGAACCCCGGGTATGAACCGACGTGCTGATTCGCTTCCAAGAGGCTCAGTGGAACCGTCGCTGCCAAGGTTTTCGATCTTGCTGGTGATACCTGAGCCCCAGTAAATATGAGTTTAGGGCTTAGGGGGCTTAGGTTTATGGTTGTTCTCAAGTTCGCATCTCTGTGCTTAACCATTGAATCTATGAGACAAGGCGCTGTGAAGCTTAAGGGGTACCCGTCAAACAAGGGTCTTGCGGCGCAGTTCAACTTCGATGACTCTGAACCCCTTTGTACGGGTCCGCATCATACGGTTGACGATATAAACCCTGCATTACCCATAAGAAGGAATATACGATAGTCCCCACAGCTTAGGGCCTAGGGTCCTTCAGGTAATGCAGGGTTTCTATCATCAACTAAACCCTAAACCCTAAACCCTAAACCCTAAACCCTAAACCCTAAACACTCGGGATCCTGTTGCTCAGGGTACCTGGGTTTCTCATATTCTGTAACTCGCACATTTCCGCTGGGCTCACGCCTAGCCCCCCAAAACCCCTAAACCCTAAAGCCCTAAACCAGAAAACCCTAAACCC